TGTGGGCCTGAGAATTTAGGTAGTACTATTTGCACAATTATGGTGTTGTTTATTTTCCATGATATAAGCGTGAGGGTCCTGGGGGGGACATGATAATGGGGGGAGTCTAGTAACCGTAATGTTGTTCAAGTAATTGTACATTAATGATATCAAAATAAGAATTAAAAAAAGAAAGAGGGTCCTGTCTGAACTCATGCTTGGTGTTTAGTGATCTAATGGATGCGGGAGCATATGATCTCTATGGCACCCAGGTGTTAATCTTAGGTGTTGCTGTTTTTAGGATTCTAGGTGCATTCAGGGCTGCCCAGTCTTTCTCCTAGGCTGTCTGAATCTTTGAACTACTTCCTTTATTGGACGTTTTTTGATACTAGCCATCAGTTTACAGCTATTCCTGGTCAGTGTTCTTAGGGATTTGCTCAGCTCTGGACTCATAGTCCGAAGTGTTCCAGGGGTCTTCAAATTCACGTTATTGTGTGAGAAAATGAATATTAGAGTAGAAGGCCATTAACTAAAGAGTTAAACTATTCATTTTATAAGGAATTTGATTACCTTTTAAAGTGGGAGTATAATGAGGATACAAGGGTATCACAAAGAAGGTCTGTAGGTTTGATAGAGAATGAGTGGGGAAATCCCAGTGAATTGGTTTCTCTTTTTTGGAACATAAGGTAATGAATAAGAAGAGTATGATGTCACAGACCAACCAGTTGTTTTTATTTATTTATTTATTTAAATTGAAGTATAGTTGATATACAATCTCATACTGGTTTCAAGTATACAACAGTGGTTCAGCAGTTACCCATATTGTTAAATCCTCGCCCCTACTAGTATGATTACTATTTGTCAACATAGGAAGACGTTATAGAATCATTCCAACCAGTTGTTTTAATCAAGAATGCCAGGTTAGAGATATGAGAAAATAGCATTTAAGAGCTGATGTAAAAGAAGGATGATATGTTCTTGCTTGGGCTGCTAGGTCCTTGGGAATTTTGCTGTAAGTCACAGAGATAGTAATCTTTTTGAGAAGATGAATGTTATTGTCACCAGTTGTTTATCTCTTTTTCTCTTTTATAAATTCATGTGGATCAGCTGGGTGATGATCTCTGAGGCTCCTTCTAGCTCTACAGTTGTTTGAGTCTCTGATCAAGTAATTATATCTGGAAATTTTTATTTAAGAATAAAGAAACTATAAACTTAGATTATAACGTTAACACTAACTAGACTAGAACAGGCTAAGAAGACCATGAAAGTATCAACAAACAAGTGAAAATTCAGGTGTCTATCTTTAAGGAAGCTGTGGTTCCATGCACAGTCAAATAAATAATTTATATATTGTAGCAATTCTGTAATGCACATGTATGTAATATGTAGACAGAAAAAGAAGGTGAACCATATTTGGAAAGATATCAGGGAGGAGGTAATGACTGAACTGAGATTTGAAGAGTGAGCTGGCTGTGAGAGGGAAAAGATGGGACAGTAGCACTCCAGGGAGAGGAAGCTGTGAGAGAAGATGGGCGTGAGAACAGCAGGGCTTGTTTGGGGAACTGCAGAGTGGAGCTCAGTAGTTCCAGAGAATAAAATATATGAAAAAGGGCAGTGATGGTTAATGGTATCCCAAATGAGACATGGGTAGTCTGGGTTCCCTCAAAAGTTTCTGGCTCAGAGGGGCAATAAGAGATTGTAAAAGGGGCAAAGATTGTAAAAGGAGAGATTGAGAGGCTGATGAGATTAGTTTTAGACATTGTGTTCAAGGTAAATAGGGACCATCTAGTTGGAAATGTGCAGTAGGAGTTGAAGGACATGCAGGTAGTTGGAGAGAGTATTGGGCTAGAAATTCAGACACCCTTAATGTTGTGGGTGTCAAGGGTGTAGATTGAAGAGTCCATGAATGAAAAAAGGGTCAATTAAGTATCACCACTGGTCATTTGAGGTCCGGGTGAAAAAGATGACACAGTAAAGAACTCAAGAGTTAGGAGAATCATAAAAACACAAAAGCATTAAACAACCAAACTTATGTTGTTCTATAATGTTATGTAGAAATTATAACAAATTTGTGACTAAAAAAATCTAACTAATTTTAAATGTGCTTGTTCAAAATACATAGGAACCACTCACTTATTTTCTTCATAAAATAAGGGAGTGTGGCTTTTTTTTTATATTCACTGCCTGAATGGATTCAGTGGATGGTTGAGTAAATATGTATTTACAAGGTTGTAAGTTTGCTGCTTTGGAAAAACCAAGGGTGTGGGGTGTAGGGTTTTAAAACGTGACCTTTAAAAGCAGACTGGATCTCTACATCAGTTCACAGAACAAAATAATTTCTAGAAGGGTCCAAGATTTCCATGCAAATAAAGTTATAAAGCATATTAGAGTAAGTAAGATGACAATTAAAAAAAATTTTCTTTGGGTAAAGTCAAAATTTAACAGGAAGACCATAATTCATAGAGAAAAAGATTGGTGTACTTAATAGCAGAAAAATTAAGTATAGGGTACTGGATACTGTGAATAAAACAGAAATATAACTAATTTAACAACCAGCCTCATAGGTTCAAGAGACTTTGAGGAGGCAAGGTCCTTAGCCAAGGATTTGTTGGAAATCATATCAAATGAGTAGCAAAGCCCCCCAGGATTATGGCAGGAATTGTGGTGAAATGAAACTCAATGACAAGGCTTTTGGAGTTCTTAATGAGTGTTGCAGTAATCAGACCCATTGATGGTATTGTAGGGAGTAGCAGAGGGCAGCATCTATGGAATTCATGGGCTCATAGGATACAATATTAACACAGTATTTGTGAACATTCCTGAACCTTTCAGTCCTGTTGGAGCTGTAAACAAATCTGAAGGTTTGAAGGAAATGTGAAAATGATGTTGGAAACCTTTTCATGTATTATCTGAGACCTTTCTGGTTTAGACATCCCTAAGTCACCAGCTTTAGAAAAAAAAACCCACTGCATTAGAAAATGGTTTAAGAGCTATAATTTTTCTAGTGTTTTTAAGATGGGCCTAAATATCATTGGGGCTGTGTTGTTTAGTCTTGGTGTCTTTCAACTCGGCGCACAGATTTTATATGGATACTTATGTGTGAACTTTTTGTCATTTTGGAAAGAAAAATGGTCATGATAAAGAAGGATTCAAGTGTAACGTCATTTGTGAAGTGGCTAGATAAACTGAGAATAATTCTCTAGCTATGGGGGCTGACACAGATTACAGTTGAATTTCTGTATATAATAGCACTATAGTGATAAAAAAGGTGGGTGTTGCGCATTTAGGATTACTGTCCTTTACTAGGCACTATCGTGGGTTGGGCAGAGACTGCTTACTACATGCCAAGGACGACTGACCCTACATGACTTTCATGGATTATTTCATTAAATCTTCACAACTGCCCTTTATATAGAAATTCTTATCCCCATTTTATAGGACAAGAGAGAGAGGCTTAGAGTTTAAGTCATTTCCCCAAGGTCATATGGCTATTAAAAATGTTGGAGGAGCCTGCTTTCAGATCAAAGGGTGCTGGGCAGCAGAGCCTGAGCTTAGATGTGGGGCTCTGTTTAAACCTGTGGGAGGGGTATGGCGGAGCATTCACTATGGCACCCATGCCAGGCTCTGTAAATCGCTGAAGAATTCTCAAGTAAGTTTCATTATCATCAGTTTAGTTTAACCTCTATGCGATGTGCTCTCTCCAGTGGTTAGGTGGCTACAGCCTAGGTAAGATTATATTCTCTCATCAGATATTCATGCCGTTTTTATAAATGCCCATTGGATGAAGTTGTAAACTTAAACAATTTTGAAAAACCCTTATTTCAACAACATTGAGAGGATATTTCTATACAGGTCCATTGTATTTTATGCAACTCATTTTTGTTTCTTTTTTCTTTACATCTTTATATTCCTTTGATTTCTATGCTCAAGATTCTTAAAAATTAAAATTTGTTTTGCTCTTAAAAAAACCTCTGAAGTCTTCTTTGCGGTCTTGAGACTACCTATAGCATTTCAGCGGCACTTTATTTTTTGGTATGTGAACTTTTTATTATGAACAGGGAAAAACATCTTTACATGTGAAATAGTCTGGGTAACGTGACCACATCAGTTTTATTCACATAAAATTATGTGCTTTGGGTTAGTCCTTAGTATTTTAAAGGAAATGTGTTAGGGTGTTTTTTCCTTCTCTTTCCCCTCTTCCTCTTTTTTTTACATCCTTCCCTTTCAGTGTACTATCTTTTTTCCCATGTCAGTATCAGCAATGATTGTTCAATTAAATTGAAGTGGCACTTGCATTTCTGTTGTAGATTGCATTGTCAGTCCTTTTGCGAAAAGGAAAAGTATATTATCTGCTCGGTAACTGGGTGTTGCTGTTCACTTCTGCTATATTGCGAAGGAGGAGGGGAAAATTAAGGTGTAAAATAGAAGTCTTTCAAAAGGAATTATGGACCAGATATTACATATATCTTTAATTAAAGAACAATGAAGAAATTCTAACAGGTTAAAAATTTTTTAATCTATAAGTTGGGGTTCTGGTTTAATATTTCATTCTTAAGTGACAAAAATGATTCACTGAGCCATATTTTTTAGGACTGTTGAAATAGGAGTAGCTACGGGTTGGGTATCTGTTCATTACAGCATATAATTTTATTACCCAGGCTTCTTAAATTATCTAGTATATTGAACACAATTGTTAGCATTTCTTGTTTGTATATTAATTTGCTGCATTTAAAATCTTGTAGAGTCGTGCTTGTTCTACCTTAAAAAAGAAAACACCCCTCTGCTTAAAAGAAATGGTACTTCCTGCTTTCATAAACAGTCATGTGCATAGTTTAGCAAGGCCTGATGCCTCTGGAGCCTTTTCCCTTTATAGCACCATTGAATCCCAGTCCTAACAGAAGTACTGCGAATCTTGTGGCCTCTTTTTGAACAAAAGGGATTAGAGAAGAGAAATCTCTTGATATAAGGCTTGAAAGCAAGGGCAGGCAATCTTGGTTGTGAATATTTTCTGATTTTTCCAGAAATCAAGTGGAAGATTGAGCTGCTGATGTCAGTTAACTCTGAGAAGTCGTCCTCTTCAGAAAGGTACAGCTACATCTCTTGCATGAACAATTAAATGGTGTAGCATTGCTAAGAAACAGACCAGGACGTATTTTTTTTCCTTGTCAAATTTGCTGTATAACATACTGTATTGCATGCTGGTCATTGTGCTGTATTAAAGCTGTGTATTTGGGCAAGCTGTCCTGCTTTTACAAAGGGTAATTTATTTTTAAAAAAATAATGAACCCTAATCAGCTGCAGCATGCACACCATAACATAGCAGACTGCTGGGTTATGTGTGACAGCTGTTAAGGGCTTTAAAAAATAATTTACTTAGCTAGAAAGCAAGCAAAAATCTTGCTTTCTTTAAGCGAATACTACTATTAGATTTTCTTCCTCTATTTTGAGGTTGTTGCTATACAGAATTACCAACATTATTGGTAAGATTGAGGTTTAAAATACTTAGCTTTTGGTTGTAATGCATATTATGTGGAAAGGGAGTGCCATTTGTAAATAGCTTAGGAATTGCAAACCCACAGATTAGTCACATTCTGAAAGAGAGATATGATGCTTCTTCAAGTCTGTGCTAGGAGATGGAACAGTCACTGCATGCAGTAATGGTTCATGCCTGCAGGTAAGGACAAAATGACTCAGAAGTATTTTTAAAGCAGATATTTTATCTGTCAATCAAATGATTTTATATGTAAGGAGATATTTCCTTAAAGTGGATATTTTACTTAATAAATGGAATTAAGATATTTTTATCCCACGTCAGAAATGAGGCTAGAGTTGCCTGTCTTGATATGTAAATATTGTGCTCACTTCTATTTACCAAAATTATATATACTATATAATGTTTTAAATTGAAGTTCTGGGGCATACAATTGTTGTTCATCTTTACCTTTAACTATTAGGTTACCTAATAGTTTATACTTAATGTTGGTATCTTGTATTTAAGGTGTGTTGATATATCTCTTCCATGGTTAGTTTTCAGGATCATCTTTCTTGTTCATAGATTTAATATTTAGGAAGATATTATGGAGAGATAATTTAGTAGTTAAGGAATGATACGGAAAAAACACTGACAAAAATGAGTTAAAGAACCTAGCATGGTAAAAGGGACTTAATTAAAGTACTCTAGTATATGGGGGATATGATGATGGTAAAATGATGACATTAAATTGATTTATTAGTATAATTAGGTGAAAGTCTCATGGGTATAATTTAGGGCATTACAAATAAGGAAGATGTTAGTGCTTTCTTTGAAAATAGAAAAATGTATTCACATTTGTGTTTATTTTTGTGTATGTACTAACTTCTGGTTTGTGGCTAGCCATCTGATTTTAAACATGCTGTTTGCTGAGATGCAAAACAATCTTCAGCATTCTGAACGTTCTGCCTGCCAGTAAAATGGTGGTGATGGGAAGTGGAGAGGGTGGTGGTATAAACAGTGAATGGTCTGGGTGACAACTGTAAGGTTGAGGAGTTCTGTCACTAGGAAGAGCATTCTTAATGGGATGACCAGCAGTAATGATGGTAGCTTTTATGAGTAGCATGAATTCTCTATTAATAAATTGGGGGTTGAATAAAATGGATGAAACAAGTTAGGGATGGGTGAGGTTTTTCTGGTTAATTCCAAGATATTTTGGTGATTATATTTATTTATTCATATTGGTATAATTTTTACCTAAGCTCCTGTGGTTACATTTGATAGGAAGGGAAGATGCATGTGGTCATGATTTTAAAGTTTAGAAATTGGTCACTATGTTTATGATAGCTTTGTGCACAGTTTTACCAGGGCTTCCTTGCTTTGTTACTCCTTTGGGGGGTGCTTAGACATACATCTGACAGTTGTGAGATGCTAATTTAATAGGTAATAAATGTGGTTTACGGGTCAGTCAATACTTTGCAAACACAGAAGTTGTTTCATTAATGTAACTGTATGAAAATATAATTTTTTTCTTCCTCTTTTTAAGAGGAATGCAATAATAAATTGTCAAAGTATTTGTCTTTTTAATGTGTTTGGAAGGACTTGAAAAACAATCTGAAGTTAAAAAAAATTATGGCCTAGTAACACTAAATCCTGCCCCGAAATTTAATAGCTTACAGTATCATTAATGTTGCCATCACATTCTTAATTCCTTGTTCATCAGTCACTTAAAATTTAAGTCTTTGACTTATTTTTCTAAGTTAGTTATTTGAGGCATATCCTCAGTGTTAAAGATGTTTGGAATTTGGATGTTTGGTATTCCCATTTATTTATTGGTAGAAAGGATGAAGAAATCCGTTTTCCTTTAAGAGAGGAGAGTCTTAATTATTTGCCAGAAACCAAAGGGTATCATTTGCTATAACTGATTTTGTTTATTGTCTGTAATTTAGAATAGTTTTTTGATATTTCAGGGAACTGAGTGGAGAAGGAACACTTTTTTTTTAATAGTTCTCTAGATATTTTTTTATTTTGGTATCATTAATATACAATCACATGAGCAACATTGTGGTTACTAGATTCCCCCCATTATCAAGTCCCCACCACATACCCCATTACACTCACTGTCCATCAGCGTAGTAAGAGGCTATAGATTCACTACTTTTAAGTACAAAATATAATAGGTATATAAACAGTGGTGTGATGGTTCTAATAATTTTTCCATTCCATATTTTTAACCCACTTAATGGGAATTGCTATTCATATGAGAGCTACTCTTGGTTGAATTAATTTTTGTTCAATTGTGTAAAATGGGAAAAGCAAAACAAAAAATTAATTTATTTTGTACATTCTGAAGGACCCTTCTTTGAAAAATACAAATTAGATTTGAAGTAATACTCTAATGGAATTTTGAAGGTTGTTTTGGGGCCTAACTTAGAAAATATGTTTTCTTAACAGATCTTAATACCACCTTGAAATTTAGGATTATATTTTCATCTTTAACAGAATTGTGGAGGGCCATCAAATGTCATTATGTAGGGGAGGCATGGAGTTCTTCTGTACAGAATGGCTGACTCACACATAGGGCAAAAACCCACGGGCGATATAGTTTATTTTCTGATTTTATATTTTGGAGAAAGGGAAAATTGTCAGCTTATGCAATTTTTAAATTAAGGATAGAGAACATTGTTGAGTGAATAAAAAAATTGATGTCTGATTTGTGTATTATTGCCAGTTGAGAAGAAGACATAATCTGTCGCCGAGAATGCCCTTCTGCAGATTTTTGGAGTAAATCTTCCTACAAGTTCTTTATTTTCCATTAAGTCCCTGTTGAATAAATGAATATATTCATTTTAAACATGGTAGGAACAGGGCCAGCTACACTTTACACAGCTTTACTTGATGCGAAACAACGTTCTTAGATTTTTGTTTCTTCTTGCCTTTTCCTAGTTAGAACATTCTTGGGATTTGGAAATCTCTGGGGTGGAGTGGGTGAGGAAGTGGAGGAAGAGGAGTAGTAATAATATAATAGCTAGAAAAAAAGGTAGGAATCACTTACTAAACATTTTCAGATATCAGTTCTGAGTGAGGAATAAGTGTGCAAGAAAGAGTGTGTGCATGTGTGTACATGCAGTGAATGGCTCTTGGGACGATTTTTTAACAAATCATCTGAAAGATCCTGAATGAACAGAAGGCACTTTGCTCTACTAAAATTTTTGTCAAACTTTTTGTATCCCTGCTACTTTGGTGAATTCATGAACAAATTGGACAATTCTTAGTAAGCCCAGAATGCTCAGAGCTATGATTCCCAATCCTACCAGGCTGACTCCAGGGAGGACAGAGGAGCTGGTAAGGTGAGGGGCGTGAGGGGCCTGAGAAGCTGAGAATCTACATATGCCACTTACGCTAAGCATTGCCCACATCTGCTGTTGTGTTAAATGTAAATAGATGATGTTGTAGTTAATAAAGTTCACACTCAGTCAAAAGTTAACTAAATAGCAGTGCCTACTAAGGTTTGCATTTTCTCAGGGAACAAATACTAAAATAATAATTGTGTGTGTGTGTGTGCATGTGCAAATGTGCATGCATGCATGCGTGTGCTTGCGTGTTTGTGTGTGTGTGTGTGTGTTGTATGAGAGAGAGAGAGAGTTTTTGGTGTTGAAGGGGTCCTTAGAGTGGCATAGATAAGCAAAAGTGCATGGATCCATTTAGCATCCCACATAGCTAGCACATACTTGAATTCAAATTGCTAGTTATCTTTCTTTCTCTTTCAGAAGAAGAGAGCAAAGGAGAGGGAGAAAGTATCATAAAAATATGCTGTGGCCTATATTCTACCAATGCTGTATAAACAGTATTGGGGAGGAGGGGTAGAGATTGCATGTTGTCCCTCCCCCAGTAGAAAGGCATTTGAAATACATAAAGAACCTGTGCTATTTTTGTTTGTATATTTTAATTCCTTTTCTTATTTTGGAGCCTCTTAAGTAAAGGGAAAAAGGACATATGATAATGATGTGTGGTTGCAGAAAGCAAAAGAGAAGCCTGGCAGGAGAGTAGATGGGGAAAAATAAAAAAATAAGGATGAAACCAGATGAAGAGAGAAGGAAGTAAAGGATTTTTGGTGGAAAACATCCAGGACCAGATGTCTTTTATTCGCTCTGATGTGGAATATATTTTTCTCCATGTCTCTGTGGTGAGCTAAGAGTAGTCATGGGAGGAGAGCCAAATTTTATAAATGATGCTCTGCCCATTCCAACTCAAAGGGTACAACACAGTTACTGATAACTACTTTTCCCTTTTCTGCTGCTCACTCTGCCACTATTAGCTTTGTTTCTGTATTTGTAGGATAGAGATCTATTTTTCCCTGAGTGGTGAGATGAGATGAGATGACAGTGGCTCGGTGTGTTGTCTTCCCTCTGCTTAATCATTACACTTTCTTTTGTTTTTATTTACTTTTTCGTAATGTTTTTATTGAAGATACATTTGGGAAAGTGCATGCACAGATCACAGATTATTATGAAATCAATTTATTGATTTTTTTTCATAATTTTATGTGTTGTATCTGAGAAATCTTTGCCACACCTAAGATGACTAAGATTTTCTGCTAGGTTTACTTATAGAA